ACGCCACCAGGGTCACTGAGAGCCCCCGAGTCCCCGCAGGGGCGACGCGGAAGGAGGGTGCGGCCTGGCGCGGCGCGACTCGACACGGCCAGGGAGGGCCCGGGCGCCAGACCCCTCCTGACCGCCCGCTGCCCCGCGGCACTGTGCTGAGATCTGCCCGTTCTGCTCCCCACTGTCTCTGGCTCGCACCCCAGTGCTGTACGCACAAGTAAAGTCTTTGAAAGAAAAAGGAAAGTTTTTTTGAGACCCAAGTTTCTGGCGCCTCAAGACAAATCCCGGAAAGGACAGGACACTGCCTGGGCCCAGCCCAAGTGGGCGGCGAGGCCCGTCCAGTTCCGACGCGGGCTTCAGGGTGGCCGCCTGCCGCCCCGGCCCGGCCGCCACGGGCGGTGGGCCGTGGGCCAGTGGACGGCTGGCAGGCGGCTGGGCTGGATGTTCTGCCCACTGACGGCTGAAGCAGCGGACGCACCAGAGGGGTGCGGCCCGGGAGACCCGGCCAGGCCAGCCGCAGAGTGGCCACCCTCCAGCACAGGGCGCTGGGCGCTTCCTGCCCGCCACGCCGGCCACCTGCAGACTCTGCCCCCCCAGACCCCAGGTCTCAGCAGCACCCGCAGGGTGCGCACGGCCCACTCCGGAGGGAAGATGGGCGAGGGGGTCGCCTGTGTGGTGCGCTCGCGCCTCCCGTTGCGCCTGGGAGCGGCAGTGCAGCCCAGGCGGGCCAGGGGCCCACGGCCAGGGGAGGGACCTGCGCCCTGGGCCAGCTCAGCCCTGGGCCAGCTCGGGGGTCCTGACCAAGGACAGAGGCCACCACCTGGGCCCAGCGGGGAGCGGCGGAGGGGGCGGCCCCGTGCCGCCCCACTGCCCCGGGGGGCCTGGGCACCAGGCCCGCGGCACCCAGGCGCCAGGGGGCTGCAGCCCAGCCGGCCCTGTGGGCGGCCCCCAGGCTCTGCGCCCTGTGGGTGAAGAGGGAGAAGGGGAAGCTCACAGCGACCCTCCCCAGGAGCGGATCTCCCAGCCCACAGACAAAGCAAGTTCGCTGGCCCTGCGGGGCTGCCCTGGCCTGGCCTGGCCCTCCCTCAGCCTGGGCCGGTGCGCGGCCAGCTTCCCGGCACCCCTCCGCGGCTCGCACCCCGTGACTGCGCGTTGCTCCGCGGATGAAACCTGCCGCACGGGCAGCCACGGGGCAAGGGAGGACGCGCCTCGGTGCGAGCCCGCGCGCGGGTCCCTGTCCGAAGCGGTGCAAGCTCCTGCGCGGCAGCTCCGGGCGCCCCGCTGTGGACAAGGGGCCACTGGCCGGCCGCGGCGGG